AATTGATTGAAATATATCAAAAAAAATTCATATATATTCTCAAAAAATATAAAATTACACTTTGTATAAAATGATGTTATACATATTAAACGTTTGACATTTGCATTACGCATTGCAGTTACAATTGATTTTATTGAATCTTCATAAAAAGTCATTGGTGATATTTGAAGACCAGGTTGTCCAAGTGCTGATAAAACAGCAACACATCCTTCTAGATGTTTAGCTAATTCCAATGGATTCAATAGATCACATTTAATCACCTAAAATAAAAAGGAAAATGTTTAATATTCGTTTGATTAAATGAAATAATTTACTTCAAGATTTTTGTGTGCAAGATGTGTTAATTTCTCTGGACTTCGTACTGGTGCTATTACTTTATAGTTATGTGCTAATGCTTGTTCAACAAGTTGTAAACCAGTATTTCCTGTTGCACCTAAGATGACAATCTTTTTATTCGTGTCATCCATTGAAGTCGCCATTGTTTGACTGAATAGAGATAAGTAAAAATAAAATAGAATGAATAAATCAATGTTCTATATGAGGTCACAACTATCAACGCGAGTTTGACTCGACGTGGGTCAATTCACGTTGATTGTTGTGACCCTCATGTCGAACATTGATAATGAATGAATGAATGAATACGAGAAAAATATGTGTGTTGGCATTTGTATTTAACCAATCATGTTCAAACTTTAAAATGACATCTATTAAAGGTCAGTTTTTATTTAGAGGTTCGCCTATGACAACTAATTTCATGAAGATAGAAAAGATTTTTTTTCTTCTGGATATTGTTATTCTCTATGCTTTGAAAGAAAAAAAAAAAAAAGAGAAAAGTGTTTGTTAACCTTGATCTCAATTATTCTAATGGATTTATATACAGGTAAAAGTTTCGATAGTGACAATGATCAAACAAATCAACAACGGCAAAGTACTGTCGAAGATACGTTAAGAAGTGATCATAGTTCAAGAATGGATTCTAATAAACATGGAATATTTGTTGAGCGTACACTTGCTTTGATTAAACCGGATGCTGTTAATAGAGCTGATGAAATTGAAACAATCCTTCTCAATCATGGTTTTGCTATTCTACAAGTTTGTTATTTTAATTAAATAAAAAAGAATAAACGTGCGATGTAGAATAAAGGATAGTGTTAGTATTTTGCTAACATCTCATCCAGTTCTCATCACTTTATTCAAAACTTATACTTTTAATTCTTTACAAAACTATATATTTCTATCAATGAAAACATATTCCATAGTTTTCGAATACTTCATAAAAAAAAAGATTCATTTCATATGTTCAACTTTCTAACGTATGAAGAAACTGCTTCATTTGTCAAATCGCTTTTTCATTGAAATGATACTTATTTGATTATTGTTAGTGAGTAAGAAAAAAAAAGGTCTAGAATAATTTGGTTTGCAAAATCGTCGTTCTTAAGATATCGAAATTTTACTAAATTTTCCAAGCCCTTCAGATCATATGTAAAATTGACTTTGGAGATTTGAATTTACACTTTACATGAATTAAATTCTCAATGAAATTAGTCCATTAGATAAGCTGTAACATTTTTAGTATCTCTGATCCTGAGATATTCAAAATTCTCTTATGTATTAAATCAAATTTTGTTCAAATAGTATAATCTTCAGAAAGGAAATACTAGAAAAAATTAAAGCTTGCACAATGAACAAATTTTATTGAGAACTTTGTTCATGCACAACTTCAAGTTGCCAGCTGATTTTTCATTTGATTTAAGAAGTACAGTAGATTTTTGTTGAACAATTCAGTAAAACTTCGGTATCTCAAGAAATGAAAGCCCAGAAAACCAAAGTATTCTAGTTTGTTTTTATTATCCACTAATTATCATCAAATGCATATCATCTCGAACGGCAAGCAAATTGACACTTGGAGAGGTTTCCTTATTAGTGTTTATACAAAATATTGTTATTACACTTTTTAGTTCTCAAATTAATACTTTCTCCTTTTCATTTACATCCTTTCAAGACAGCTTTAGCATCTTTTTCGATAGCAGCTATCGGATTTTGAACAATCAACGCACAATTCAGTTAAACTATTACATTTGAAATGAAATATATAGTTTTCTAGAGAATTGAAAGTATAATCTTTGAATAAAATGGTGAGAAATGAATGAAATATTCGAAAAGTATGAATACTGTCATTTATTCTGAGTCACCCATCATTATTAATTAATTTTGGCTTGGTTTGATTTTAGAAACGACGTGTAACATTAACAGCTGAACAATGTTCTGATTTTTATAGTGAACATTATGGAAAAAAATTTTTTCCAAGTTTGGTTGCATTTATGACAAGTGGTCCAATAGTTGCTATGGTTTTAGCAAAAGAAAATGCTATTCAACAATGGAGAGAATTAATTGGACCAACAAATTCAATTGTTGCAAAAGAAACATATCCGGATAGGTTACCTTGTATTCTTCTCTGTTTTAATAAGATAATCTTTTTTTTTTGTTTTGTTTGATATAGTATTCGAGCATTGTTTGGAACGAATGAACAAAAGAATGCAGTACATGGTAGTGATAGTGCAGTGAGTGCTGAACGTGAAATTCGATTTTTCTTTCCGAATTGTAAGTAGAAGAAAAAGCAAGAAACTATATAAATCATAGTTAGTTATTCATATGGTTAAGGTATTGTTGAACCGATTCCAGTTGGTCAACCAGCAAAAGATTATCTTGAACAAAATGTTAATAAAACATTAATAAAAGCATTGACAGCTTTATGTAAAGAAAAACCTCAAGATCCAGTAGTAAGTTTTATTTCGTTATAAAAATTATTATTTATTTATTTATTTATTTATTCTTTTTCTAAAAGTTATGGTTAGCAGATAAATTAATGGAAATAAATCCATATAAACCAAAATTAAGTCAAGTAGAAACAAAATCATCTTTTGATGATACACACATATTATCGTACGAAAATGCAAGATAAGAAATATCAATTATAATGTTATAACAAACTCATACTTTAATATTTTTTCCTTGCTTAAATAGAAAAATGAAAGAAATTGCAATAAGAAAGCATTAAATAACAATCTCTTATATTGTTTGATTAAGTATTTCATTGTACATATTGCGTATTGGATAACATGATTTTAACTGAATATTTAATTCAATCATTACTTCCTATGCTTAGAGAGTAGTATTTTGATATTATATAATCAAGTTTTTAGGTATCTCTGCAGATTTTCTACTATGAAAAAAAAAACAAGGAATGAAATTCAAGTATGTTCTAAAACTAAGAGACTAAAGCTGTATAGGATAGAAATCTGCAAAATCAGTTTTTTTGGTCCCGGTCCCGGTCCCGTCCCGGTGAAAAATGTTTTAGTCCCGGTCCCGTTCCCGGTCCCGGTCAAAATTTTTCTTCAGTCCCGGTCCCGGTCCCGGCCCAAATTTTTTTTTGGTCCCGGTGCCGGTCCCGGTCTGGACTCGATGCCAGTTAAAAATTGTATTATGGTGAACAAATTCCGATTCTTGAAACTGAAACGAGGATCGATGAAAATTTTTATCAGAATTGTAAAGAAAATTGCTGTTTGTTTAGATTTCTGATCACAAAAATATAAGAAATACCTAAACGCAGAATCGAGTTTCTGATAAAAAATAATACTGGGACCAGCTTGAAAATTTTGGTCCCGGTCCCGGTCCCGGCAAAAGTAAAATTTTAGTCCCGGTCCCGTCCCGGTCCCGGTAAAAGTCAAAATTTTGGACCCGGGACCGGGACCACTTTGCAGATGCCTAGTATAGGATGCGAGGAGTAAATCTTTGAGATCAATTTCATTTTTGTCAATATACAAAACGAAGGTGGGCTTTTTTAATTATCGTTAAGGAATAATGATTGAGTTACTCGTCTAGCACATATTTATATGTATAGTACGACGAAATAGAGAATGATACACTCATTCGAATACAAAAAAAATGAAATCAAGACTGAAAATCATAGAAGTGATTTTCCATTCAATGTAACTTTTTGATAATAATTTTTACTCAATAGCCGACATTTTTTATTGAACTGATATAATACAACAGCATGTTCGCCAAAGCAAATATTCAGTAGATTCCATAATCTTTACGTATCTACTCTTTGAGCACAGTTTCATCCTTTATTAATTTTTGTTTACCTTAAGTTCTTTTCGTTATTCTTAAACTCGGGTTAAAATAGCTATTGAATGACCTTGGAAAATTTATTAATAGCTGTTTGGCTTGGATTATTCGTCCGATAGCACTCTGACTACGTTATAACTTACACCTACTCCTATTGATTAGCTAATGTGTATGGTAAACTCAAGCAATTGGAAGCAAGAACTTTGCATCAGGCTGATCTTCTACCTAGAGCTGCAGCTAGCGTTTATTGCAAGGAAAATATCCGGCTACTGAATCTGCCGTTGGACAGCATTCAATACCGCACGATTATCGGAGGTTACGGGGTATTATACTGTTATTCTTGAATAATCTCAGAGTATCCTAAGAAGTTTTTGCTCTACAATCGAATGAATTGAAAGTTCAATTTGAATAGGAGAGTGATGTTAATAGTCGCATTTATAGAAACAAAACTTGATGCATATAATACTACTGCTATTCTGTAGCTATTCTTTACAAAATAGAATCATTCACAAAATTTGTATGCACATATCATTCATTGTATTCGCATGTATTCTATTTAATTGTTTTTCGAAAAGATCAATTTTTTTTCTATGATCATAGAATAAAAAATTTCTTATTAACCAATAATAAAAGAGATTCTGCTGAGTTGATTAGCATATTCATTTTATTCAATATTAGGAATAAAATAAACATTTAAATTAATAAGAACTATGAATAAATTAAAGTAGACAAAAAATAATGAGATCTTTCACGACTGTAATTTGATTCATGATCGAAGATCGAACAAAAAAAATGCTTCAATCGCAGATACTTGTTTCACATTTGCACAAGAAAGACTACGGTAATTTTACAGCACATTACATTAAATTTTAAAAACCAAACGTTCGACGAAATAATTCAAAATATGATTTATGTTGGGGAGCTTCATTTTCGTTTTGTTTTCGAAGTTGTCGTTGTTTAATTAAATTTTGATGATGACGTTTTTGCATAATATTTGGTGATTCACGTGCAGCTGACTCACGTTTATAAATTAATTCAATTTCCCTTTGTGTTGGAATAAAAGCAAATTTATGCTCTCGTTTGATTGATCTATCATGATTTTTATCATTAAGATCATATGAACCATAGATACGTAAACCAAAATATTTTAATTCACCTGTATCTCCATAGTTCAAAGCTGATTGCATTGATTCTTCATTTGTCGGTTTACGAGTTTCGATACGTAATGTCCAACGGCCAACTGGAGATTCACCCCAATGATGAACTGACATGAATGGAAAATATTCGACACCTCAATATAGAAAAATAAAATATGAACATGATATAATTGTGATTTAATATATACTTTGATTCGTAGCATCTCTTGTACGATATGAAATCATTTCTGATGGTGTTTTACTTGGTGATATAAGTGTAATCTTAACGTCTCCACGACGATGAAAACTATATGAAAGATTAGCTACAACATGTTCAATACTTGATACGTTTACACATTCTTCAACATTAATTGATACTTCAACAGTTGTACCAATACCTAAGTGACTGAAAAAGTAAAATAAAATAAAATAAACACTTGGAAATAAATTATCTTTTATTCATACCGATGACCACCTTCATATTCATGATAGCATTCATATCTTGGTTGTACATTAGTCCAATTTTGTGCTAAAGATGTCATTTGTCCAACATCTAATACACCAAAACCAAATCTATCACTAACATGGTAACCAGCTCCATTTATAATCCAATCATCAATTTCAGATAAACTGGGAATTCGAGCTGTTTGAGCAATAATATACATTAAATCACGATAACCCAATTCAGGATTAGCTTCAAATACTAATGCAAATGCACCAGCTGCAACTGGTGCAGCACCGGATGTACCAAAAAAAGATGTTGTACATTTTCCACCGACATCAGCTGCAACCACACCTATTGGCAAAGTGCTTTCACCCGGTGATCCTGAATGTTGACCACCAGTATAAGCAACAGCCATTGTTGATGGGCAAAATTCACTGAAACGTGTTGATTCACCCAAATGATTAATTGAACCAATTGATATAACATTTTGATGTGATACATAACCATCAGCACCACAGTCGTCCTCAGATGCACCTCCATTACCTGATGCCCAAACAAATATCATACCTTTCCCATGACGTCCCTTGAAGTAGAACAATGATTCAATGAAATTTTCGAAAAAAATACTTACTTGTGTAATACCATAATCTAAAGCTGCATTAACCAAAGTACCAGGTGCCTCCATTTTCGTTCCATCATCAGTTGGACTAAATAAATTTAACTATTCTATTAATCAGTAAGTAGTACGAAATTTACCCCCATGAAGCACTTTTAATATGTACGTCAACATCAAATAATGATAAAGCACGTGCTTCAAGTAATGTTGTAACACGTCCATCAAGAACTCGAATACCTAAATTTAAATATAAAGACTTTATATTGATTCTCAAAATATACACGTGTTTAATTTTTTCTAACCAGCAATGTATGCATTGAAGGCAACACCAACTCCACATATTTCATTATTGGCTTTACCGCATGCTGCTCCAGCACATCGAGTACCATGACTAAAATAAAGGATAAAAACATCATAGTGTACACATACAAAAAACAAAATAAAGCTCAAGCCAATTCAACATATGATAAGAGCATTAATAAATATGTCAGAATAGTTAGAATAATTCATTAAAAGTCATTTTTAGTTTAGCATATTTCTCTTACTTATTCTGACTATCATATGTTCGTGGAAGTGGATCATGTCTCTTGTCTGTAAGATCATTCAAATCATAACTGAACTGAGGTTGCTATTCGTACAGAAAAAATAAATAAATACTCAATTCATTCTTTGATGCTTTTTTTTGTCTTGCTTTCAATCATATCATAAAACGTATCAAAAGCTTTCCTTTTTTTTTTTTGCATTCGACTAAAAATTATTTTTAAATAGAAACTTACATAGTGATCAACTAATTCTGGATGTGGATGATCGAGACCATCATCTACAATACAAATTGTTACATCTTTACCAGAATATCCAGCCAGCCAAGCTGGTGCAACATTAATATCATGATTAGCTGGTGTATTGAATTGACCTTTATTTTCCTAAATCAATCATTTCTATTAATTATTTTTGTTATAATAAATCACTTACTAAATACCATTGTTTACTATATAATACATCATCAAATGACATTTCTAATTTAAAATTTTCTATTTTATTAATATTATTTAATTCTTGACGTTCTTTCAAAAAGTCTATCAATTCATTATCATCTATGAATTCACGTTTTTGTCTTTCTAATGATTCACCAATGGTTATGTATGCGATCTAATATACATATTAAATATTTATCAATATCTATTATTAATTTAATATATTAGTTTACTCGTTCATCTCGTTTTAAATCTTCGATTGTTTCATCAATTGAACGTTTAGATCGATGATTACGGTGTCGTCGAATATGAAAATGATATAAATCAACACCTTCCATCTATTAAACATAGAAAATAAAAGCAAGTCTTTTTTTTTGTTTTTCTTTATTATCATTTTCATTGACTTACATGTCCAGCATTAAGAATATCCCTTTCTTCAGCAATAAGATCAGCTATAAGATAATCACGATTGTTACCTGTTAAACGAATACCAATATCAATCGTTTCTTCTTCATCACGATTATCAACTGTTTCTTCAGATGCATTCACTTTGAAAATATATACCAATAAAAGAAGAATAAATAATAATCGAAAAATTTTTCTTTCAAATATATTTATCAACATCTAGAAATTAGAAATCGATAGGTATAAATATTATGTTTAATATTAAAATCTAGAATAAAATATAATAGAAATTAATTATTATTCGTTTATTTTTAAGTAAGGATTTACGAAAAAATACATTCGACTTGAATCTTTTTCAATAATTGATATATAAAATTAGACATGAACTGAATTAGTAAATATTGATTTATATCTAACGGAAATGTATTCAATCAAGATAAATAATAATAAAGAAAAATTTTAAAAATATTTCAATATTTACGATATCAATATATTAATATCTTATTTTAGGTAATTAAATATTCAATATCAATACATAGAATTAAGGATACTAATGATTCTATTAAAACAAAGTTGCATTGAAGATCAATATAAGAAAACATATTGTGAATATTTTCTTGATCAATTGTACCGTGTAGAACAGATATATTTCACTCATGTTAACACAACGAATAATGAATCATATTTATTTTCAAGATAAAAATCTTAAGTTCCAGATAAGGTCATCAATTGATAATTGACTGATATTAAAAAGAAACAAGTTAGAAATATTTACTCAACTTGCTGAATAATATCAAAATGTTCCATCAAACAGAACACCACAATCTTAATAAACCATATTAAATTTCTCACGTAGTACATGTATCATTTGCTTAGCAGTCAACCAAGTCTCATTAGAAAAGGTCAATAATGCAATTCACAGCTTTCATATTCGACATAAAATCCATTAATCTATTAAATAGAAAAAAAAAAGATGATCCAAAAGTAAGGGAACACAGCATTTTTTTAAATTTCTTCTGTATACATGGTCAGTCAGACCTCATATTTATATTTATACTACATATACTTGTTTATACTAATCAAAAATAAAGCATATGATTGGTTGTAGAGTGCAACAATTGATTCAAAAGCTTACAAATATGTTTTACTGTTCGTTTGTGACTGTATGAGAAACTTGATATTTTTCGAAGTGATTTTTCTGATCTGTGCAATGAATTCTATTTAATTAATTTTGATCTGTTTTAGGCTAAATAAGCACACAAAACTATGGGAATTGAAAACTGTCAAACTTTCTTGTACACTCACAGACAAACAGTAAGATGTCTTGGTACGCTCTTAAGTAAATTACCACATTCAAAGACTGAGTATATGCTACATCTTTTACTAATATCAGCTAGTATATATATGATGTAAATATTAACGATAACTACTAATGCGCAAAATGGATATTGAAAAATATTGTGATATCTTACTTTTAGATCATTCTATATATGATTTAAAACATATTTCAATAAATAATTCATAATGTTTACATACTTGTTATTATTTACATAAGGAAAACAATATTTTCATCCATAACAATCGATCAAATGATCTATCAATATTAACCAATGTTGATTGCACAGTCATTTTTATATTCTAATGATAAGTGGAATAGATTAATTCATCAAGGTCATTTACAATAATATACATTCACATCGATCTTATTTTGGCATATGATCATTGTATAGTAGACTAATTATATCTTATAAAACAAAATAAACTATTTCTTTTGCAAAAGGATTATTCTTATGACTACACTCATGCTCTTTTTTCAGCAAAGTTTCAACTTCATTAACAATTAATATTACTACAATCATGTATTAACTTGTTTCTATTAAAAGAAAATTGTCTATTACTTACTTCTTCGATTATTGTATCACGAGGTATATCGTTCGTTCTGTCAGCATAATAAGCCCCTCTTTTATGCTCAAGCAAACAAAAAACAAGAAACAATCATAAAGCAAATAAAATGATTTTTCATACCTTACCAAAGAGTTATGATGGTGGGAATGAATTGCTTTAACGTTTATATTTGCTTACCTCTCATCAAAGCAAAAATATTTCTAACGGATAAATTGTTTCAAGTATTACGTCTAGATGATTTAATCCTCTACGTGTGATGGAGACCAAAAAACTGAGTTATTTATGTGATACATACATACAATATTATTTCTATTCAGTCATTTAAAAGTATCATTACAGTTCGTAGAACGAAAAAATAAGTTGCATCTACGATTTCAACGGTACAAATATGAGAAAAAGAACGTGAGGGTGGAAAAGCGTAGGTAGTCCTAATTACATGCAAGCAAAAAGTTAGTGTATAAAAAAAAGTTTGGTATTGAAGAACGATAAAAATATTTATACCTATCAATCGATATAAAAAAAAAAAAATATCCAATACATTACTTAATGATAGTAGCGACATCAACATTTATATGCAAAATAAAAATTAAAAAAAAAAAGTTTTCATAATAATAAATGAAGAATTTTGTTTGAAGAATATTAGTTATTCAAAAAGAAAAGATATTGTTCTTTGATTTGAGAAACGCGCACATTTAAACAATAGGAAAATTTTCAGTGGATATATTCATTCGATTTGTTCTATGATTTCCAAAGGATGATATATTTCAGATAAAGATAATAGAATCATTATGTCAAATTTTGGTATTGCATTTCATAATCTATTGAAACAAATTCATTATCCAGGCATAAATCAATATGAACCATATAATTTCGATTGGTTTGTTTATCAACCAGGTCTTGAACCATTTCTTACTTGGATTGTTAAGAATTTATCAGATGAAAATTTTTTAACTGAAGATGAATTAACTAGGTTTGATCGAGAAACAAAAAAAAATAAATGAATTCTTGGTAGATTTTCTTTTTATTTTCATAGATATGCTTTAATAAGTAATGATGTAATTGAAAATAATGATGAACGTCAAAAACTTCTCGATATTCTTATTTCACTTGATAATGGGTAAATTGAAAAAAAAAAAAATATTATTTTCAATAAATATATTTACTATTTTCTTTTGATTATAAAAATAAGAAAAATGATTATTCCATGGACGAATTATCAACGAAATTTAACTGAACAATATTCATGTATAAAATCTCAAACACAAGCATTAAAATGTCAATTAAATTGGAAACAACAACAATATAAAACTTTATTAATGAAAGGTCCTAAAGCAAAAGAAAAGATTCGTGAAACACGTCGACAAATTGAACAATTATTACAACTAGTAAAGAAATAAAATGAAAATATTTCTCGAAAATTTTTTTATCTTATAAAATTTAGTCATCACCACAAAATCTTCTTCAAACAGCAACAAATATAAATAATTTTCAACAAAATGGAATGAATTTTATACATATGGAAAAAAATTATTTATCTCTTCTACAAAATATTTGGGTATAAAAAAATTCAATTATAAAAAGAAAATTCTTTTTGCTTTCTTAGACTGATGAAATTACATTGGAACAAAATCCAAGCATTGATCTTATTACACAATTAAATAATCGAACTGTTAAGTATGTTTTGCAAATCAATAAAAACTATTTCATATTACATCTTTTGATTATTTTCTTTATGTCTCGCATTCAACAAATAAGAAAATTGCGAATCTAACAGATTCAACAAAGCTTTCAGATAACTCCAAACATGATATTCTATAAAATTATAAATAAATTTAAAACGTTATTCATTGATAATAATAACTTTTGCATAACATGACTGTTGAATGAAAACATTAATCTTATCTGAGTGAATGATATACATGTATTAATCCGAGGGATACTTTTACAGTTATAGTACGGTTTTTAAACTTTTTACCTAAAGATTATACTGATTAGTTTCTTCCATAAATAGCAACAAAGACAACGAGATCATCTCAAGTCTAATCAATATTGCTAAATATACGCTTCCGTGTTGCTGATGACGCTAGAATGAAACACAATAATGATGGTAAACATCATGGCTGTGGAGAATTATACAAATGTTTTTTTGTATCACGTCATTACATATTCACCTTTTTCATACTTGATTTTTCTTTTCATGTAGTCAGTTACTTGGTCATATCTTTCATCATTATCTGTAGATGAATTTTCATTAAAAACGGTTTTTTTTTTTTGTAAAACAATATTGCTTTCCAATTGTGTGACCTGTTCTCAAGTGCAGTAAATCACTGTATAAAGATCGAACTGATTTTCTCTTCTATGCTTTACTATAAAAAGAAAAGCAGTTTGAAACAGGAAATATATACTGAAATGTCGAGATCTTATCAGTCGCTGGATCGGGTCCGGATATGAGATCATAATTATTATCGGTAGATTTTATTCATAAGAGAAAAATGGCCTATTCCAAGACAGTCATTGTAGCTTTTCGCACATGAGTTTTATGCAACATATACTTTTCTTTAATAAGGTACCCATCTGAACTGATACCAGCTGTTTGAGCTCATATTGGAACCAAACAATATTATTTTGTCAAGGTATCGAATTCACTTGAAAATTTAACATCTCAATAACAGAACAATCTACAGGTGATTAGACCTATCTATGAGCAAAAATTCAGGAAAACGAGCATAACTCAAGACTAAAGTAGACGCACTCATTTTAATTTGTGCCAGTCTGACTAAGAAGTCTTTGTAGACCTAATATACGCTCCAAACGGTGGGTATCAGTTCGGATAGTTCCCTTATATTTTTTTAATATCTAAATTAGGAACATCATTTAAGTTAATGCGTTAATTATCACTAGAACTCAATAAAGCTAAGAAAAGACGAGAAAAATTCGAATGCATGATCCTTTTTTCATTGTACTATGACAATTATTGATAGAGCCATTCAAAGTTTTTATCTTAACATGAAAGCAATGATTGTTTGTGTGAGAGTATATTCCTGTGAGATATATATACAAAATAAACAATATTAAAAAGATTTTATAATTGTTATTATTATTTTGTCTTTTTTTTTTTCTTCTGAAGACTTGTTCAATTAGAAGTCGAATCAGCTTTAGCCAATGTTGAATTTGATACACTGAAATCTCAATTACAATTATGTATACAATTAAAAAAATATTTTGATTCAACACCAATTGATGATCTTAAGTAAATATTTTAATAATTCATTTTCTCATTAAAAAAAAAAACAATTTCTTTCAAAGAAAATTAGCAGATCGTCTCAGCTCTAAATCTATTGTTCATCAACAACAACGTACACAGTATGAAACTCAATTATTGAATACATATATATCACGTCATGAACATTTACTTGAAACAATTTATTTAAATATTCTTGAAAAACAATATGGAAATGATAATCGTCTAGCTTTAAAACAACAAATTATACTTGATAGTCTTAATCAACATATGAATTTTTCTAAATTAATTGATGGTTTACTTGAACATAGATTATCTCTTATTGATCAAACAACAGAACATATGAATAAAATTATTAATTATATTAAAATGATAATTGAAAATTCGAAATCAAATATTTCAACGATTGATATGAAACAACTAAAACAAGATATAAATATTGACATAAATATTAAAAATTTAATTGAACGAGTTAAACAAATTGAAAATGATTTTTCGAAAAAGTAAAAAAAACAAAAAAAAAAGAATATTTCATTTTTATTTATTTTTTTAGTAATTCAATTGTTAACTCATTTCTTGATTATATGAATCGACAAAATGAAGATTTTCGACCAAAAGCAAATGATTTATCAATTGAACTTGATAATCTTATTCAAACTAGAACAAATGAATGGAACAATCTTATTACAACAATTAACAACTGAAATTTTTTTTTTTTTTTTGATAAAATAAAACAATCTTATTCTAATACCAAATTATATTATGTCATATTAAAATCTTTACTCTTTGATCTAAACAAAGATATTTTGTATTTATCTGTATAGTTGAAAAGAGCATAATTATAGATAATGAAATAAGGATTCAGAATTATGTCAAACAGAAATAGATTTTCATCATGTTTAAGATGTTGTCCTTTGCTTTTTTTTATGATGCATATAAAAAGATAATTATGAGATATGATGTAAAATAATTTAAGAATATTCCAATTAGATATATATTAGAATGTAAATTACATAAAAACAAAAGTTTTTCTTTTTCTAATTTTAGTTCATTCGACAAGAATAAATAAATTTTTTCGGTGAAAAGATAAAATTTCTTAATGATAATTTCATTTAAAATTATTATTATATTAATGTTTGGGGACTAAATAACAAGAGAACGTCTCCTAGTGTTAAATTGCTTTTGAGTCGAGACTATGTGTATCATGTAGGTTCTAATATATTATGAATATTCTAAAAAAAAGGAGTTCAGAATAATAGATTATTATTGTTGAGACATGGTATTTTTTAGCAGAATACTCTGTTTTTTTTCCAGAAACATGGAAACTGAGTTTCGAATTTGACTTGAGACTTTGCAAAAAGACAGGTTTTAAGAAAAATCGGTTATTCTGAAAGTTTCAGATTTTTCTGTTATGCCTATTCTGAAAGAAGGACGTCGGAATTCACCAAAATATATGAGAAGGGTAAGAAAACATGTTTTTATCATGACCGTATTTTATAATTTTCAGCTTTATATCAAGATGCTTTCGGCAGGTATTCATCAAACAAGGGCTACAAAAAGTTCATTTGACAATTTTCTTTATTAGAGCGTTTCAGGCTTCAGTGTAGCAGATACTCTTATTTCCATTCTTACTTTTTATCCGAAAAAAAATCATGACAATTTCAGTATCTCGAAAAGTTCTCAAAATATAACCATCTATGTATAACAGTACTTTTATATAATAATGAAATCGTTGTTCTAACTACGAGCGGTCTCATACATTGCAACTGTAAATGTTATTTCAAATAGAAAAAAAACAAACAATTAACTCAAACGAAGTTTCTTCGAGGACTCTCGAGTGTGCAATCAGAAAAGTATCAGCAGAAAAAAAAACGTCGCATTTTCTGAAAGAAACAGAAACATATGATTGAAGCAAAAGATGACGGAAATCATCGAAAATTTCCAATTAATATCAAAGGCACATAATCACCATGTAAGATTATTTCACAAAGCGAAAATAGATTGTAGATCTAGCTGTTAACAGACCAAAAAAAAAAAAGATCAGTATATATTTTGGCAAAAATATAATAATATTTTGTTTTTTAAACAAAGCTATATCTATAATGTCGTCAATGATTAATTAATGTAAAAGCCGATGGTGACAATCGTCAGTTGTTAAGACCATAAAGAAATCTCATCTAATTTTTGTTCTAATGTAGTCTTTTTTTAAGTTTTCTATGCTTTTTTTTAAACACAAATTATTTATTTTATTTCGAAAATAATCATCGCGTTAGTCCTGAAACTTTATTCTTCTTTTCCTTTTATTTAACATCACTTTTATCTTCATATTTAAATATTCATATTTTATAGACAGGTTCAGATTAAATTCAAGAAAAACAAAATAGCTAGAAGAATTCAGAACTCATTATCAATAAAATGATTCAATACAAGACCATTCACTTTAACTAATAGAATGTTATATATGTCGGTAGGTTTTTTTCCAAATAAAAGTTGTCGTGGTTTGCAGTATTGATAATTCAAATAAATATTAATCATTGGAAATGCAACGTTGAATCTAATGAATATAACACAATAAACTTTGATCAAAATAATCTTCGCTTCAGTTAGCATAATATTAAATTTGACATAAAATTTTCTTTTTATCTAATTATTCATTTGATGGAAAGAGTTTAAATAAAATCAATAGAAAAATGAAATAAAACAAGTTGACATACGAATTTTAATAGAATCCTATACAAATATCATTTATATTTCATACTGTGACTTGTCATCTGCCTTATATTTTGACGAACTATGAGTTAAATTTTCTGAAAATTTTATATTCGTTTGTCGTTGTTGACGAAAAGGTAACAACTGAAATACAGCGTCAAGAAGTGTCTTTCGAAATGAGCGAGATGTTAATGTAGAAAGATAAAATGATTTAACATTAACAAGATAATAGATATTATTACTGACATACCAAATAAAATAATGCACAGTTTGTTGTTCACTAGTCTTTATATTATCTATAACAATCAAGTGATAGATATAAAAAATAATCCATTGTAATATTAAGAAACTTGTTGTAAAAACTTGAGTAAAAATCATTCGAATAAATGGATTTCGAGATCGATCTATATTGACACGATTTTGTAAACCCTAAAAATAACAAAAAAATTGTTCAAATGAATAAAAGATAATAGTAAGAGATTTACTGCACGATGGCGACTTAGTTGAACATTTCGATAAGTGAGCAATACAAATATTAACATCGCAAACGGTGTCATAACACCATGACTAACAATATATAAAATAGCGTTGAAAACTCGATTTGTACATACACATCCCAAATTGGGGACAATATCATAATGGATAGGTGCATACAGTGAAGTAATGCCACTGATAGTAATAGTAATAATAATCATCCATGGTACCATTTTTAAATGTCGAATATGTCTTATAGATGATGTCAAACTACATGTACAAGCAAAACGATCAATAAGAGACAAAGCTAACAAATTTATAGATAATTGGGGCAAAAAAACTAAACTAAAAACTTTCAATTTACATAAATGACGATTGGTTACTAAAGAAAGTATATAACCAGTCGTAGAATTTAGATAGTTAGTTAAAAGATTAATAAAAAGATTAATAACATCAACTAATGAACCACAAAGTAAATAAATACAACAAGTATTAAATCGAAGTGATGGTTGAAGAAATGTAAATGCATTACCAATGAAACCAATTACACCAAAAATGATGAATATAAGTGGTAGATAAACAATGAATTTTTGTTTTACAAAATCAAGAATATAAGAAAGACCATTTGATGTACAATTTAAAGTTATAGTACTATTCCACGACATTTTCCAGTGTGTTCTTTAAGAATTTTTTTTTATTTCGCTTCAACTGTGAAATATCTTTAGACAAAAAAATAAGTTGTAGTAAATAAAAAGAAAAAAAAAATTAATTGTTGCTTTAGTTTTCCTTTATAATTCTTCTATCTTTTGCATAAAAAAAAATTGATTAATTACCGAATGAGAGAAACCACAGAAAAAAAGTTCAAAAAATGTAATTTTTAATAAAATGATAATATTAATATTGAAAACGTCTAAGAATTGTATATATTTCTGTAGTATAAAATTTTAATTAAGGGAGATAATATATAATATAGAGGACAACATTTAATGAAATAGCTGAAAACAATGAACCTTTCATGAAAAGAAGATATGAAAAAGAAAATAGTCACAGCACTAATTATGTACTCTCTTGCTCATTTGGCAGTTATGATTTTACAAAAGAAAATATTCCATTAGTTGTATTACAAAATACAGCTGACTTGAAGTAAAATTGAGGATTTATTGTCTGGATAGAGAAAGAAAAAATGAACTCTCCTATGTTATCTCAACTAATTTACTTTCTTACTGAATCGAGTTTATCACACAACGGGTATCCAAATAAATCTAATAACTTAATATGTAATGAGCTTTCTAAAAATAAACCAAAGACGCGATTCAAATAAATAATAGATCATCCTAATGTTTTATTCATGTTTTGTATAAGTATTAAAAAAATATCGTTAATCTTAATTCGGTTCTTTTAAAGTTTATTGAACAAACATGATGAACAACTTCATTTTTTGTTTAAATGAAATAAAACAAGTGAATATAAGTTCGATAGTGAACTCAAATGTCTACTGCTTCATTTTATTGAGTTCTTCTCATAATGAGAAATCAGTGCACTCATTTACGTTAAATAAAAAAAGAAACATCATCCAGGCCAAATATTTACATACTGTGTTAAAAATGGATAAATCAATAAACGACTTTTTTTAAAAGTAAGAAACAAAATAAAGTTCAAATAAAGAAGAAGAGTCCAATTTTTTCTTGAAAAAAGTTCCTTTTTTTGCAACTATGAAAAGTATAACATAAGCATTTTACAAATATGCATGATTGACTTGTTTTTTAAGTGAGTAAATATAATTTTGAATATAAACACTCGTCTTTACACAGTTAAGATACAACATTTATTTTGTCTGAGCGAGACTCAATTTTCATGTGCGTACGGAATCACTATTTTTTAGTTGCGTCTACTTTGCGTTCGGTATTTACATGACATAAGGAAAAAGAACGATTTATAAAAATGATTAATTATTCTCTATGATTATGCAAATCACAGTTTGTTTGTAATATATATTTATATTTAGTATATGTGCTTAAATTAATTTTTTGTTCAATCTATTTCATGTGGCGTGACTTATCAAGGTAGATACTTCATGTTTGTATAGTTGAATGTATTTGCACAGTTTAAGGAACTTTATTATCCTTAGACGAGAATTTGATTGATACATAAAAATATGCTCATAGTTTTGTTAATTTTAATAAAAATTCCTTTCATAATACTACTAGTTAGTTTTAATACTAAATAATGGGCTTTAGCCTCGATGAAAATGATATACCTCATCGCCGAAACTAGCCATACATATTCATATACATACTGTAGATATCATTTAAGAGTATCGTCAATAACTTCTGTCATTGAAATGAAAATCGCTGAAAACAGGCATTGTTAAAATTTACATGACCGAAATGATAGATTGTCAATAGTCACATCGCCAAAATACAAGTTATCGAATTTCGACGATGTGACTTTTCGCGAAGAAAATACTAGCTTCCATGCTAATCCTCCAATAACCAATAAATAATGAATACTTATGTAAATGAAATGGTTTCACATAGATATCTGACGTATCACTTGTCGCAAGGGTATTCATGAAAGATTATATGTAATCAGTTATAAATACATTCAGACTATGCGTATATGAAAATTATACATCATAACGTGTGTTTTACAAATAAAAAAAATTTTTTTGAACTTAGTGTTCGATTTTCATTAACTTATGCTTGTTTAACAAGATTTCAATTATCTTAAAATTGAAAACTGCAGATTCCAATTCTCAACGATTCATATTTGAAAATCTTCTTACTTGTTATTAATAGGAGTCCTCGTTTTTATAACAGAAAAGAATCAGCGATCTCATCTATCAAACGGATATATAATCAAGTGATTTTCCTTACATTCGTTGCTACGACGATAGTTTCTTTCATTTATTATATGATTATAACTCTTCAACAATTCATATCACTAGAAATTTCTGTTCGATTTATTCATAATTAATCTATATGACTAATAAAGAAAGTGTACATTAGGAAATTGAAGTATGATAAAGATTATGTGTATACACTAGAGAAAAAATAAAGAATAGAATGTTCTACTTAGCAAAAGTTATTCTCAAATGATGCACATAAAAATAAAAAAAAGACATGCATATCAATATAAAATAAGTCTTTCAACTACTCGACATAAGTTCATTTGGTCTCTTAATACTTGTCGCTTTCTGACGGCTGCGAAAGTGTATACAAGAAATAATGAAATGTATGAAACGAACAAGACGCATTGAATATGAAAGAAAATGACAGTCATGCAAACTATCATTGAGTGACCGAGATAAATAAAAATAACTAAGCGCATACAATTCACGATACAATGGAAGAGTCGCCTTAGTTACGTGTTATACATAGAAAAGAAAAGGTTTTTGTTTGTCGAAAAAAAAAAAGGTGTTTTCACTTGCTGGCATCGATTTATCACCGTTTAAAACTAACAAATGCAAATTGTTTGGAAGAGCTTAATGATATGGAGAGAACCTCTAAAGAGTAAAATGACATATAATAATTTATAAAAAGTCATTCGTAAGTGTCATCTGCTGTATATGATTAAAAGTGGAGATAATTACACTACACTACGCATGTTGAACGACGTAGGTAATATGCAATTAAATTGTTTTTTTTTGTCACACTATTAAAATGTACAGAGACTATAGAGAATTATGTGAATGGGCGCAGTGGCTAAAAACAAAACTATCAAGAAACTCTCACTAATGATACACATATCAAATAAACCAAATCTAACAAAGTCCATAAGTACAATAGACTGATAATGTTATTAGCGATTGATAAGTAAGGACTGATCTTGATAGTTTCTAGTTGAATCGTTTGGAAGCTTGATATAAAATTTATTTTAATTTTTAACTCATGGACCTTATCAACTATGAAAGAAACTCACAACGAAGTTGTTTCTTTTTTTTCAATCAATAAGTCACAACTCTGATGTATGCATCCAATTACAGAGAAAAACAATAGATAATACCAAGTAACTAATTTTTGTAAACATGACCTGAAGAAATAAACAATAATGAAATCTATAGAAAACTGTTTTTAATGAACCAATAACATTGTTATTTTCTGTATAAAGTTACTACGAGTACCATAGAATGTATTTGACATAGTTATAAAATCTAGATTTTTTAAAGCGATGTCTGTAAGACATTCATATTCTCATGAGTAATAATATTAAAGTCATGATAGGAAATAGAATTGAAAAGTATTTCTATAAAAGTAATATATAAATTTTAAAAACATCGTCTCCATGATTTTCCGAGAAATAAAATTCCAATTAAAAAAAGATGACAATTTCGTTTATTGTTCTTTTTGTGTCACTCTATTATCGAATAATATTTGAAAGTATATCTATATTGTAATAATAATAATAATAATGAAGAAGCACAATATTTCTAACATTTGTTCAAATATTGGAACTAATGTAAGATAGCCGAAATTCAAAATCATAGTAAAATTTTATTTGTTGTTTTTTTCTACATGATTGGATAGAGAGTATATCAAAGATTCTAAAAACTTATTTTTCAATTTTCTAAAACTAGACTTGATAGAAAAATCTTCAGAACAATGACATAGCATGTTTTTGAGTGAAATGGCTCGATTTTGAAAATCACATCAAATTTTTTTATACATTATTATTTTCAGTTCTTCAAACTGATTCTTTCTTATTTAATCGTGTAAAATTAGCTATAGAAAACTATACTTGTCATTGTTCAAATACAAGATGTCCAAAAACAAATTGATCCGATATGAAACGTTGAAAAACATGATTTTTCCATTTTGCAATTCTATCTCGAGTTTTTGCATGAATAATAAAAGTATTATTTCTAAAGAATTACAATAAGTATTCCTATAGGAAAAAGATTATCAAGAAGTTTTTATAAATATTGCCTCATGGTTGAAAAAATGAAACTTTTCTAGTTTAGTGGAAAAAAACGTACAAAAATGCGCGCGTAACTAATATTTTTGATCATCCTAATTCCATTGATGTGCTAAATGTATCAAATATTCAGATTCAACATAAAAAAACAGAGTTATATGACATATGGTTCAACGAAAAATATTTATTATCAAACACGCATCTGTACTCATCATTCTTTGTTTTCATTAACTGCATCCTTGGTTCACCAGGACTCGAAAAGACTTTTCGTTGAAACGTATGCCATCTAACTCCGTTTTTTGTATGCTGAATTCGAATATTACATGCATTTTGCTCATAAATGAAAATTTGATGGTCAAAAACGTTAGTTACGAGCACGTTTTTTTCCAAAGAAATAGAAAATTTTGGTTTTCTCAACAATGGAGCAATATTTACAAATAAAATCTTTTCATAATCTTTTTTGCTATTGGGATACTTATTCTAATTCTCTAGAAATAATAATTTTATCATCTTTCAAGCAAAAAATCTAAATGGAATTACAAAATGGGATAATCATATTTTTCAACTTTTCACATCAGATCAAATTTTATTTGTTTATGTTTTACTTGAACAATGTCATGTACAGTTTTCTATGGCTAGTTTTACACAATCAATAAGAAAAGATAAGTTTACAGAATTGAAACTAATAATGAATAAAACACTTTATTACGCTTTTCAAAGTCAACTCATTCCATCTGCGAATAGGCTGTAT